GATTTGCCCAGCGTCGTGAGTTCCAACGCGAGGGGTTCGCTGCAAAGTGACTACGTGTCCGGGTGGTGCCCCGGCCAGACGATTAGTAGAAACAACACTTGCCGCCGTCAGGGTATGTTGTTTCTGTACAGGCATTGCCTCCTTACGTGCCTCTGAGATTCGCCTGGACGTTTATCCGCACAACGGTTGTAGGTATGCCCATGAGCGTTCTCCTAGAGGGGAGATCGCGGTACGTGGATTGGAGAATGGTTCTCCTCGAGCCGATGGTGGTTCTTTGCTGTTCGTTTCTTCTGCCTCCAGTTCTCGTGTGGCATGATATGTCCTGACACCACCGTCAGCTTCGCACCCATCTATATACTGTGTACCTCCCTCAGTTTGGTCGATTTCTATGTGTATGCAATCGTTCACCCCCCACTGGTCCATCCTTCCGACAACAGTGCTGGTGCGGTGACATCAACGCCCAATACTCCGTCAATGGCGTCGGCGAGTGCGACATGACCTGCTCGGGCAACTCCGACGAAACCTGTGGGGGGGCCTACAGCATGGATGTATACGCCCAGGACCCGGCGTACCTCGGGTGCTTCTCGGACCCCGCCGACGACCGCATGTTCGTGTGGGAGAGTTCCAACACCGCTATGACCGCAGAGGTGAGCAGTTAACCGATCAAAGGCGTTGGGTTGCCTGACTCTAAAACCATTCCTTTCAACACGAGCATCGTGCTTTCGCAACATGTGTGTTGCGGCGTTGTTGTTGTCGTTGGTTATGGTTCTTGCACAGGAAGCATCAACAATTTTCGCCATTTCGTAACCCAACTCGTGTCGAACACACCCCACCCGTCCATGCATCTCCCTTTCGATTGGGTCCTCACTACAACACTTCTCCCCCGCCCCCTTGACCATCGATCGTTGCTCGTGCGCACACGTACATCACCCAACGATCAGGCCTGCGCCTCGCGCTGCAGCGGCTCGACCTACTACGGAACCCAGTATTCTCAAGAGGTATGGCGTCTTGGGTTCGTGTCGCAAGGGTGTCAGTCGTACTTTGTGGGGCAGTGCTGCACGAGAAGAGCGACCATCGGAAACCGTTGCGGGCGCTTTGGGATGACCATGGCCGCCAGCGTGAATCGGTTCCACGTGTTTCGCAATGATTCCAGATGCCATTGTTAATTGTCCATCCTCGATGAATCCCAAATGCATCATACGCGTGCCGAGTCATACGTATCTGCTCATTTGCTGGGGATACTTGTAGTGGTTTCCCCTATCGTACCTTGGCTTCTCTGGGCCACCGAGAAGTACCTAGCTCTCTGGGAGCGCCGCTGCCTTTGTTTTCTACCGTTGCTTGTTCCTCATGACACCTGCGATATGTGTGCAACAGACTTGGAATTGGCATTTATTTATGGTTTATGTGTGTCTGCTTTAAGAAGGATGAGTGATCGCACCAACGAAGCACCACTACGAAGAGAGCCTTGACTTGATCATTGCGGTCTCCGGAATCGGTCAGGGGAACGAGTCACAGCGTGCATCGATCTGCAAAATGTAGCCGCGACCTGCCGTGTTCATGCCCCTATCCTTTGCCCTAGATTTTTCCCTGACACTGGCACCTCTGCCTAGCTCACCAAATTCACCTGGTCTGATGAAACATCGAATCTCAAGCATGCCATCTTGAGACCCGTTTCCTCCGCAAGTTCACGCCCCCACTTGGATGTGGATGCTGCTGCATGAAACAGTGCTGGTGCGGCGACAATGCCGACTACGCTGCCAACGGTTTCGGCGTCTGCGACATGCCCTGTACGGGTAACTCGGACGAAATGTGCGGTGGCCCCTACACCATGTCGGTATACCAAGCCATCTGAACTGGTCGTCCACCTGGTTGCTCGATCAAGGTAAGCCGCTGCCACAACATTTCACTCGGAAATTCACCAAACTGGCAAGGATATATATCTTGTGTGAAGATGGCAGAGAATTATCGAACGTCCAGAGGCGTACGTAGAAGGTCCTATCTTAAGCCGAATACGTGGTCAGTGGTCCACGAGACTCACGAAAGGAATGCATGAGTACTCACGCCGTCCGCGATCATGTACGGATGCTCATTTGGGTAGAATGTACAATGGCTGGTTGGTGAGAGACACTAGGGTAGCAGCAAGGAATGGTTGAGGAATCGACATCTCCACAAACATCTAGCAGGGCAAGTTTGTCTGTGTGCGACAACCTGGTTGACCTCACATGGTGATATTTGTCAAGTTCTTCCCCCGGCGACATTCAGTCGACATTGAACTACAGGAGCAAGCTACGGGTAAGGACTGTAACGTGAATGTTTCCGGCCAGCTAGTAGCCATCCCGAGCAAACCGGTGGCGATGAGTCGGTGAACGTCCGGCACGCAACTCGCGTGTTAGGCCCTCGAGCGGTGGGTATGGCAATACAACTTCGATGGGCTTCATGACCATGGCGTTGTGATTGCTTCTGCATTACTCCTACAATATATCGCATGTGACCTGCTTATCGTCTTCACTGTTCCTCCATGCTGCCTTGGACCATCTCTTGTTCGCAGAAACGTTGCCGAGCTTCGGGCATGACACTAAACGTGGCATCCAGACGAGCGAAGCGTTAGTCAGTCCTCTTCCTCGACGGAGTTGACAAATCTGGGTCGATGTAGGGTACCTTCTCCGATGTAAGTACCTTCTCCTACATCACCAAGGGCTATGAGTGCCCGGCGCCAATGGAAGTCGAAGGACGTCAGGCTTTCGGCTCGGAAGAAAATCGAAAGCAGGCGTGGAGGCGGGGATGATCGGCGTGTTTGTGCTTCAAGGTTGGAGGTTCTGATGTTCGGAGGTTTCTGTATAGTTTCGCGGGCTCGGGATGAGAAGGAAGGACAGAGGTCAACGGTAGTAGACAAGAAGTAGCGAGGAAGCAGCGTGAGTATAGCCAACTCAAGGTGGTCACAACATGACAGACGTGTGGGTGGGCGTGTACATGGTAGAGTCGGGGAGCAACAGGGTGTAGAAATGCCGGAGGTACGGCCGCGATCGGCTAAGGTTTGTTTCCCATTCGCCCCTCTCTACTTCCAGTATTCATGCCGGTCAGTTTGCCAACTAGACTAGAGCCCGCCGGGCTATCTCGAAAATTGGTTGTATCCGGCTCCGCTTTCGTGTCTGGAGTGTAACAAGGGGTGTGTGCCAATACTGGAGTTGGGCCTCTGCAGGTCATTCATCTGTACGGGTGTAGGTTCACGTTGGAAGTGTGGTAGTGTTGCGTAGACGTGCAGGTGGAGTTGGCAGTAGGGAAGATCCCCAGGCTATCCCAGCTGGTGCTGTTTCCGGCTCCGCTTTCATGTCTGGAGTGTGTGTACCAATATTGGAGTTGGGCCTCTGCAGGTCCCATTCATCTGCACGGGTGTAGGTTCACGTTGGAAGGGTGGTTGTGTTGCGTAGACGCGCAGGTGGAACTGGCAGTAGGGAAGATGCCCAGGCTATCCCAGCTGGTGCTGCTATTTCTGGTTCAGGTTGTCGATAGGACATCGCTCACAGTATTCTTGTCCATATACATTCGGAAATCATGCGTCATAAGCGGCAATTTTGAAAAGAAACTGAGGGCTTTCAACCCTGGAGTGGCGGAGTGAGTGCCGGTGGCGTGTAGATACGCCCCCGCCTGACCTGAGACCAAACGAGTACTGCGAACAAAGGATACGCGTTCTCAGAGGATGGCTCGGGCGCACAAAACGTGACCGTGGCACGTAGACTTTTAGTCCCCGTCCAAATTCCCGGTCCCGAACGACAAGGCACACTCTCGCTCTCAGTACGAGCTCTCACAAAGAATCGATAAAGTGTTGTCGCGTGCTGCGTCTGGCACCGTAGGAATTGTACCAGTGGCGAGTACAGAAGTCTCCATCCGAGCAGCAGCACCAGTTCATTCAAACAAAATTTCCGTATGTTGGGGCTGATTGGATGGCTCGAGACCCGCCGTGTTCCCATTTCCTCTGGACACACAAAAGCATTCCTGGGTTCAGTTGTACGTACCGGCGGTCAGCCGATCCAACTGCGCAGCATGTTATGGTCTCCTGGCGGTCCAGCAATCCAAGGAGTCCTCTGATCCCCGGGGTTGGCTACCTCGGATGGAGGTTGCTGGTTTCAGACACAAAATGTCGGCCATGTCTGCATACAGCAAGACCGGGAGCTGTGCTGGAACAACGGGTTCCACACCAGGACGACGTAGGCCTGTACGGTTAGCGCTCATGACTGTTGTCAGCGATATTGGACTGACTCGTGCATGCATGCACAGGGCCTATGGCACTCTGTGGAACTGAGGAAATCCTCTTTTCCATTCCAAAACCAATCTCGGTGGCCGCCTCGGGACTGTCGGGTTTGTCCAGTCACCAACCGGGTTAGAGTGAAGGCCACCTACAGCAGCAGCACAGCAGTATCGACATGTGACATGACAGCGCTTGCGTGGACATGTAGGTCCCGCAACAACGCAATATGAGAATATGACGCTGCGTCTAAGTGTAGTGTTATCACATGTCTCCACGTATCAAGTCGTCCTCTATTTCATTTTCCAGGAGTTGGTCTAGCTGAATCTTTTTCGCAACAGAAGGCAGGTCCTTGGTGGAAGTCTCTATTGTAGACTATTGCTTTATCCGGAAAAGCAGTGCTTCAGGTTTGGCGGCGTGAACTGCTGTGTGTAGTAGATGTCCATTGAGGCCAGCTCTGAAGATTCGATCTATCTAAATTCTAAGGTTCAGGCATTGCTCGAGCAGCAGGACACCGCATCGAGGTACATGGCTGTATTGGGGAGTTTCGGAACACGTTTTGACGCTTTTCGATTTAGATGCAAGTTCTCGATTTAGGTGGAAGGGTCAATTTCTGGGAACGTTCCTCAAAGCGGGGGAACATCGAGCTCCTAAATCTGAAAGGGGGCTCTCAGATTTAGGAAAACAGCGGCCCGGCACCGCCTTTTCCTAAATCGAAAATCACCCTTCAGATTTTAGAGAGCATACACAAGCAAGCATGGCTTCCCGTCAGAGCTCGAGGGTGGTCACCCCCACGGAAAAGGTCTTGGCCCTTGAGGCTTCCCGCCAGACCGCGGCGCGTAGGGAGGCAGATAACTCTTCGCGCACGTCCTTCAGGGCGGCAGGCGATGGGCACGCGCAAAAGGTGATGAGCTTGGGTGGAGAAGAGACTCCGGTGCAGGAGGAGGACTCCGACGCTGAGGTGGTAGCTGTGGCCAACCCATCGAGTGCGGCTTCCGCGGGCAAGAAGAAGAAGAGAGTCTCCCCGAAGTGGAGCATGTGGTCGGACTTGACGCTGATGAAACACGGTGAGTTTGTGCGACCATCAGACAAATGGAGGGAAGACGATTGGTTGTAGACTAGACTATGCGTGCACAGCTGGCGCGTACATATATGCACACGTTACCACCGAACACCATGCATCATGAGCGCTCATCATCATGGTGACACCTATTGTGGTAGAGTTCCTACATAGCATCCGTGCTTTGTAAGTAGGACCTGCGTGCATTCGGTCCGAAGACTCGGCTTAGGGTTAGGTAGTGGGCTGTTGTTGGTGGATAACACAGCACGGCGCACATGCTTTTGTTGAAGTGTGGATTGCTGCGGGAGTACCACACCAGTCTAGCTGTACGAGATCATGATGTTCCGCGGCGCGTTTGGTGTTGTGTGTAGGGCGGCAGTTGAAGGCGATGTGGAGAGAACATGCCTTGAGTAAGCAGAGCGCGGTTGCGAAGAACATCTGACGGTCACCAGCAGAAGCAAGGAAGACCACACGCATGTTGTCGATGATCGGTGTCCTACTTTTTTTCAAATTTCAAATTTCCTGTTTCGCCGCAACAGCCGGTGCCAAGATGGCTAGGCTCCCTCCCGCCTGCGTCTCTACTCCTGCACAGCAGTGGACCCGATGTACTTGTTTGAATGGGGGGCTTAGAACAGGAATAGAACAGGAATTGTGTATCTTACCACCGGACTGCTGTTCCCGTACAGTAGTGTAACGAGCGGGCAGCTCTGGAGGTATGTACAGCAGTGGTTGGCGTGGCACAGGAAGGTGTGGCGAAAACGTTACAACATCCAAAGTTCTATTCCACCCGTGCGCCCAAATGTGCCTGCTATTCCACTTACCACATTTGCATCCGTCTGGGTAGGTTTGTTAGGAGAGGTGCTAGGTATCTCTCCCGAAAAAGACACCGGCCCCGTGGGCTCTTCACCAACAAATTCGCATATTATTCGTGCTTGTTAACACTATTCTCTGTCGCGGCAGCTATCAAGCACAAGACCTGGCGAGTGGCTGGCCTGACCGACAGGGTTGAAGACAGGTGGGCATTAGTCGTCGAGGACTTGAGCAAGGAGCCATATGTGAGAGTGTTCGGCAGCAAGACGGTCAAGCATTTGAAGTCGCGCTTCGACTCGCACATTCGCGCTCAAGCGAAGAAGAACGAGGAGGCGGCAAAAGCATCCGGAGCAGGGAATACCTCCGCCGACGACCTCGAGGGCGACGAAGCCGAGATGGTGAGAAGCTAATCGGTTTGATTACGCGGATTTGTTCACCTGCTGTGATACACCTATAGTCGTCGTATCAGCGTTTTGTTGACAACGATCATTCGGGGTAGCGCGCTGCCTGTATGACGAGCGCGTTCAGCTGTATGCGTTCGCGAAAAACATGCTAGAAGTCAAGCAAGGTCTGTAGCAAACGCGGGAATGTGCAAATGGAGTAACTGGAGACATGACAGTTGCTGCTGGTCTTGCCGCGCTTTTTCATGTCTGCCAATTTTGCTCCTTTTTCGCAGGAGAAGCTTGTGCAATCCGTGCTAGACGCCAGGACCGGGGAGAGGGCAGACAGTCAGCAGGAAAAGGCGAGGAAGGCGGGTCACAACTTGCTTGGGCAATCAGCCATTGACATGGGCAATAGCCGGTGCGGACCGGGAGCAGCGGCGACATCCTTCGGAGAAGCTCACGCCAGCGACGAGCGCCGGATGAGTGGCGTTATTGACAGCAGGGGACGCATGCCTGGGTTCACTCCGTCTGGTAGTGGGAGCGGCCGATCGAGCCCCGCTAACATCGGCGGCGTGGTCGGTTTCGGTAGTGGTGGTGGTAGCGGTAGCGGTAGCGGTAGCGGCCGATCCAGCCCGGCTACCGCGGGTGGGGTCACACTTACCCCCCCGCTTGGAAGCCCCCTTGCCAACCTGCTACGCGCGCCGACGATGGAGATCCTTGCATCGAAAGTTGGCGTTACGCGTGAGCAGGCCGACCTTTTCCTCAACGCCGGATTTAGGCCTGACCAAATCCCACATGATGTCGCAACGAGGATGATGGAGAGTGTGATTGCGGGCTACCTCATGGGACTAAGGGATGGGAAATCGGTGGATAGATTTGTGAGAGACATCGTTGCAGCTGACGAAGACGCCTACGGCATGGACCCCGTAGATACGTCAAAAGCTCCTGGACTAGACAGGCGCGGAAATCTCACGCACGCACTTTTTGTCCACTACAATCAAGACTATCCCGCGTTTAGAGTCCTTCCCCATGCCGAGAGGTACCGCCTTGGGTGGCCAGTTCTGGAAGAACCGTCGGACGAGATCTTTGATGGGCTGACGAGGGCTCTGGCGTCTAGACTGGTTTTCGACGGCAGCCACACACTGCTGGACTTCGCCGGCGGTGGCGGCGGCGGCGGCGACGCTGACGACGACGGCGATTCCGGCGACGACGATGCACCTCCCGACAAGCAAGCCAAGCGTACGGGCAAGAGCGGTAGGAAGACCCGCACAAGCACCAGCAAGAAGGAGGAGACGGGCATGAACAGGTGAGCGTACTGATTTTATACTTTTTGGGTTGCTTCACAAAACGTGTCGAAACGATTGTAGGTTCCAGGTTTGTGTGTCATGGAGTACCTTATATTCGTGTTGTCTCCTGCAAAGTGAAGGTATACCCAACCTCACCTGTATCAGTAGGCAAGGTATACCCAACCTCGTTGTGGTTTAGTTCTTGCTTGTCTATTTCCTCGTGCCCGGTTGTGTCGTCAATATCGTCTGCACGAGCAATGCATTCAAAAGGTGGCTTGTTGTCTTTTTTTTTGTGTCCAAAAAATAGGATGATTGAGCGCTCGATCCACAATGCCGAGAAAAACGAGGTTCGGAGGGCGGCCAGGGAAGACGCTGCGGCAATCAGGAGCGAGAAGAGGGCGGAGGACCGATTCCAGCGGGAGCGCGATGAAAGGCAGCTGGATCGCAAGCACGAGAGAGATATGCGTGCCGATGAGCGACGGGAGGAACGGGAGGACAGGGATAAGCGGGAGGCGGCTGAGGCCGCTAAGCGTGCCGAAGAAAAGGCGGACAAGGAAAGGGCCCAGAAATTCGAGTTGGAAAATGATGCGATTGAAGCTGCAGCTGGCCGTGGCAGAGAGTAAGAAACCGTAGCCATTGGAGCCCTTCGAACGTTTTTTTGGTACCACGCACAAGAAAACAATGTTGCGCGGGGTGACGCATATAGTATTCCTTTAGTTCCATACGCCCATTGGGGGAGGGGGGGGGGGGCGTCCGTGCTTGTTGCACTGTTGGCGGCGTGGCGACTGCAGTGTTTTTTGTTTTGCTTTTTCGTAGCTTTGTTTTTGAAGGGAGGGGGGGGTGTCCGTGCTCGTTGCATTTCTGGCGGCGTGACGGCTGCAGTCCCTTGCTTTTTTGTTCGTAGCTCTGTTTTTCAAGGGAGTTGGGGGCGTCCGTGCTTGTTGCACTGTTGGCGACGTGACCGCTGCACTCCCTTGCTTTTTTTTTCGTAGCTTTGTTTTTCAAGGGGGGATACTTGCTGCATTTCTGGCGGCGTGGCGGCTGCAGTCTTGTTTTTTTTTGTCGTAGCTTTGTTTTTCGAGGGAGGAGGGGGTGTCCATGCTTGTTGCATTGTTGGCGGCGTGGCGACTGCAGTGTTTTTTGTTTTGCTTTTTCGTAGCTTTGTTTTTGAAGGGAGGGGGGGGTGTCCGTGCTCGTTGCATTTCTGGCGGCGTGACGGCTGCAGTCCCTTGCTTTTTTTTTCGTAGCTTTGGTTTTCAAGGGAGTTGGGGGCGTCCGTGCTTGTTGCACTGTTGGCGGCGTGGCCGCTGCAATCCCTTGCTTTTTTTTTCGTAGCTTTGTTTTTCAAGGGGGGATACTTGCTGCATTGCTGGCGGCGTGGCAGCTGCAGTGTTTTTTTTTTGTCGTAGCTTTGTTTTTCGAGGGAGGAGGGGGTGTCCATGCTTGTTGCATTGTTGGCGGCGTGGCGACTGCAGTGTTTTTTGTTTTGCTTTTTCGTAGCTTTGTTTTTGAAGGGAGGGGGGGGGGTCAGTGCTCGTTGCATTTCTGGCGGCGTGACGGCTGCAGTCCCTTGCTTTTTTTTTCGTAGCTTTGGTTTTCAAGGGAGTTGGGGGCGTCCGTGCTTGTTGCATTGCTGGCGGCGTGGCGGCTGCAGTGTTTTGTTTAGTCTTGTCGTAGCTCTGTTTTTCAATGGAGGGGGGGCGTCCGTGCTTGTTGCACTGTTGGCGGCGTGGCGGCCGCAGTCCCTTACTTTTTTTTCGTAGCTTTGTTTTCAAGGGGGAATACTTGCTGCATTGTTGGCGGCGTGGCGGCTGCAGTGTTTTTATTTTTCGTAGCTTTGGTTTTCAAGGGAGGATACTTGTCGCATTGCTGGCGGCGTGGCGGCTGCAGTGCTTTTTTTTTCATTTGTTGGGTGTCGAAAAGGTATGCCGCCCCGTGCGATTGCGGTGCGAGAAAACGGGAGGGGGGGGGGGGGGGGTTCGATGAAAGTTGCTTCGTTTGCGACGTGCACGTCTTCCTGCCGCCAAATACATGTTTGTGTTTAACTGTTTCGCGTCAAGGTTGTAGGCGGCTATGGGGGTGGTGTTTTACTTTGCATTCTAAGACGCCGACGTTGTAGCGAAGGGGAGCCCTTGTTGCTGTTTCTGCATAGTCGTTTCCTACCGTAGAGAGCCGCAGGGATTCGACGTGTGTATCTCGTGTGTTGCTAATCAACTGGAGGCCTTCAACCCTTGTGGGTCCAGGTGTCTGGTCGACGCTACTCGCCGCCGGCCAGGAACCTTGACTGTCTGTTTCGAGGTTTGTACCATGGAGCTGTAGAGAATCGAGAGGGTGTGGTAGAGAGCGAGAGTGAGAACAAATTCTATAGCCGCACTAGCTATCTCCATGTGCACCTTTACTGCGGCCGCGACATGATGGCCGCATCTCCCAGGCTCATGCAAGGCTTGTTGAGTGGTAGGCTTGCAGACGTTGAAGTGATTCCCTCGGAAACCCTGCACTACCAACTTGCCTGCACTACCCTCTTTTCAGTATATTGAAACGATCAGTTAAGAGGGCGTAAAAAAAACGAAGTTAAAACGGGTTCAGGTACTTCTCTGAACCCCCTCCACTAGGGGCCCTCCCGGCTCTCTCTAGAGCTCCTGATTTTCCCACAAACATACAACCACACACCAAAGGACTTGCTAATGCTACCACACCAGAACGCCCCGGTCGTTCAATCTACTGGGTCGTGGCATTTGTTGGCGAAGCTCAACCATGGCGCAAATCACAGGCATTTAACCCACAATTTCCACCCTGCTCTTTTTATGCCCAGTGCAAACACCTCGTCGCGCGAGTATCTCGACAGGGCATGCTCGCGTTTCTCCATCAATCACTAGATGCGTTCACCGTTTTAAGTCTGAAACACGTCACAGTCTATACGACTTACACCTTGAGGTATTCCTGGAGGGTGGGCGGCTGCACGTCAAAGAACTGCGAAATCTGGTTGCCTCCGTTGAGGCAAGAGTGTATGTTGGAGAGCAGGGTAGCCACTAGGTACTGCTTGCCTACCGGGCTCAACAGGTACTTCTGCTGCGGCTTCATGTCTACAAACGTCCACTTGCTCGTCATCTCCTTGAAGCCCCACTCCACGGCCACCCTGCAGTGGCTCATACGCTGGTTGAAGTCGGCCATATCGGGCGTAAGTGGACCGTGGGATGAGGCACTAAAAGGGCAGGCGAGATGGTCGCTTAAACCGTATGCCGGGTCTCCATACAGGCAGTACGGGTGGCCAGAAGGGCTGTTAGAGTGTGTTGCCAGCTTCTGCATCAGTCCAGACTGCGCAAGCAAGTAACTGTCATGACGTGTGCCAAGCACAGGGCCCCACATGTCGACGAAGAGTCCATCAGGGGTAATCACGCCTTGAAACTTGATGGCATGCTTCCTCTTGTGGCCGTTGTAGTACCATCGTTGGAAGCGCACGGGCCTACGAAGAGTACAAGAACAAAAAGCACCGACACAACATGCGTTTGGCCGATGCAAATCCGGCGACATGATGAAAAGCTGGGGGGATTCAGCAGTCGCTCCATTTGAACCGTACGGAGAACGGGCCGACATACTGTTGCCTGGGTACATCACAAAATTGAACCTCACTTTGTTCGTGAGAGTCGGCGAATCGGTTTCTCTGCATAATAGTCTACTGCCGGTGTGCCCACCCCGCTTTAACTCCTATAGACCATTGAAAAGCGGCAATAATTATTACACACACCTCGCAATGCCGCGGACGGTTCCGTCGATGAAGCCCCAGCAGTGTGTGAGAGGGCAATCCGCGTTGTAGATGGCTTCGGCGAACTCCACCAACCTCGGCTTCAGTCGCTCCACGTCGAGGGAGAGCAGCCAGCCCCATTTGAACTCGAGGAAGTGCAGCATCCAATTGAACGTTTCGCTGATGCACGACTCGCTCAACCCGAAAACCAAGCGCATGTCTTTCAGACGGCATGGAAACGCCAGGCGATACAGTAGCACGCAAAGAGCCTCTCGCCCACTCACGGCAAACCCACAGTCGGTTCGGATGAACGCAGGGATCAAGAGAAGATCCAGCATAAGCATGATCTGGAACGAAGAAAAAAGGAGCAAAGCAGTGTGGTGTCACCCTCTATCCGCCGAAGTCCCACGGCTTGCATTCAACACTTCTTCTATCGCTCTGCCGCTGCATACACACCCCGGGCAACATGTGGACAAAGTGTGTGGGGACAAGTGTCCCGGTGCCGTGTACTGGTGCTGCCTACATGCATGGTCTTGCAGCAGCACAGCAGTGTGGCGTTCTTCCAAGTGGGATACACACAGAGAACTGGGAAGCACCTACCTGCGGCTGTGTGAAGCGAAGAAAGTTGATGCAGTCTTGGGGGCTGAAGAAGTTTGTCACGTCTCGGCGTGCAACACGTGTTGCCACATCGTCTGTAACAAGACTCGCCATCGTGTAGATGAAGGCCATGTTGTATGCCATCCACATGTCGGTGTAGGCCTCGAACATCTGTCGGCACTGCAAGAACACTACCGCTCGTGTTTTGCGCGCGATCCTCTCACGGATGCGCAGACGTGACATGGTGGGACCTGTAGCCAGGTTGAGGTGCGTGTGCTGGCTGCTGGTATCGTGTGTGTGTGTACCTCGCGCTCCCGGTGTCGGAGGGCCGCGCGTTGTGTGTGCGGTGGGTCTTCCCAGACTGTGACAATCAGCCAATCAGAGCACGTTTAGAACCCACGTCATAAAACGTCCCAGATTTCTTAAATCTGAGACTGTTCGCCACAGAATAATCTTCCCAGAACATTCCTAAACTAAAATCTAAATCTGAAACGCTCTTATATCTAACTTTTGTTCCGAAACTCTCTATTTTCTCGGTATGATATTTCCGCAGCAGGCACCATATGGTACACCGCTGAGCGGCACTGTAAAAGTGAAGCCGAATTTTGTGGATCACAGCATATTCTACGTCCGGAAATATGTCGATTGAAGCAGTGCGAAACCCCTGGAGAGACAACTTGGGACAGGATGTCCGAGAGCGTCCTACAAGAACACAACAGTGGTTGCAGCGTCCGAGTTCCGCCGCCTGCCACCCGATACGACACACCGAACCAAAAGTAAACAAAAAAAATGTGTCTGAACCCGGGGGTCATCGTCGTTCTCCCCCTGTCTGTCGCGGTCCACACCACCGCGGGCTACCACAGCTTTCGAGGAACACGCCAGATAGCAACGTGAGTGCGTGCAACATGAGGGCGAAAGAGAGCGTGAGATTGACTCCGTGCCATATCGGCGTATGTAGGCGTACCACGACGCAAACAACTCTCCGCTCATGACGCTGTTTACCACCCCCCAAACACCAGCTGATCCGGAAGGTCGTCTTACAACGGGGGGCTTGAGTAGCTGCATAGGATGCGTAGCGTCCGTACTAGCGAGGTGGCTCTGCTGGGATGGGTGTAGCGGTCACGAATGGAGTTGGTACTTTGTGAGGTTGTCGATTGTATTGGGTGTGCGAGGTCCAACGTCACATCTGCTGCTGGTGTACTTGACAAGTACCAGTGTCAAGACGCCCACACTACCCCGACGTATGATTAGTATTGCATCGTTCTTACGGAGTATATTATTGTC